TGCGCACTTATTTGTAATCCAAGTTATTATCTAGTCTGATTTTTTTTTTTTTTTCTTTGTTTTGATACCTTTCCTCAGCTCCCACGAGACTGTGTTGAAGGAAGGGGAGGTTCTAACACCATATTTTTCTTTTGGATTCTCAGTAAATGCTTTTTCTCTAGAGGGAGGGAAAGAGAAACTGCTCAAAGTCTGGAAACGGTGGTGCCTTGATCAAATCAGCTGAGCTGAAAAGGATTCAACCACAGAAATAACAAAGACGGAGGTGATTAGCAACACATTCTTACCAGCGTGGTGCTCTTACTTCATGGAACACAGCATTCTTTCTTATATTGAATCTGGGGCAGTGGGGGTCCAAAAGACTGAGACCACAAATAAAATGGCTTAGTTTTTTTTTTTTTTTAAATATATACACACACATAATATAACACATATTAGTATTAGTAGTATTTATTAAAAGTAAGCAATTCTCATATCGCCTATAAAGAATATAATTAGGCTACCATTAATTTTAGAATGCACATTCACACAGTCAGTTTGGGACTGACAACCTTAGCCTATTTAATATCAAAGTATCAAGTCCCATTCGCATAACGGCTTAAATGCACTACATTAACATTTATTCATTTATCATTATTCATTTTATCCAAAGCGACTTACAAATGAGATCAATAGAAGCAGTTAAACTAACAGTAGGACAACAATACATAAGTGCTATAACCCCTCTAATTTTAATTTTAGTGCAGTTTTTAATTTTTTTAGAAGAGAAGAGAAAGTGTTAGTAGTACTGAATCAAGTGCAGACAAAAAAGATACGTCTTCAGCTGTTACTTAAAAGTGGCTACTGACTCAGTAACTCTGGTTGAGTTTGGCAGATCATTCCACCAGCAGGGAACAGTCATGGTAAAGGTCCGAGATAGAGATTTTGTGCCTCGTTGAGATGGTACCACAAGACGACATTCGCTAGCAGAGCGCAAGTTTGTGGATGGCACATAAGTCTGAAGTAATGAGTTTAGGTAAGAGGGAGCAGTGCCAGTGGTTGTTCTATAGGCAAATGTCAGTGTCTTGAATTTAATACGAGCAGCAACTGGCAACCAGTGCAATTTTGTGAGTAGAGGAGTGACGTGTGCTCTCTTTGGCTCATTAAAGGCTACTCTGCAGCATTCTTGGATCAATTGTAGAGGTTTGACAGAGCATGCTGGAAGACCAGCCAGGAGAGCATTACAACAGTCCAGTCTGGATAAAACAAGAGCTTAGACAAGGAGTTGTGTAGCATGCTCTGTAAGGAAGGGCCTGATCCTCCTAATGTTGTGCAAGGCAAATCTGCAGGACCAGGCAGTTCTAGCAATATGGTCAGTGAATTTCAACTGATCATCAATTACCCCAAGGTTCCTAACTGACCTTGATGGAGTTATGGATGATGAGGCTAGCTGAATGGAGAAGTTGTGTTGAAGTGTTGGGTTGGCCGGGATCACAAGCATCTCACTAGTCAAGTCGCTAAACAAATAAGGGACCCTAGCTCTAGCTGGCCGTAAATATCGTAAATATTATACACATGCAGATGAAAATATTATTCAACCAAAATTCCACATTCGAAAGAAAGCTTACTCAATGTTGTGGTGAATTTGTATATGGTTAACAACGTTTGGGATGCTTCATTTTATACAAAATCTTCAATACATTTTGGATTTAAAAAGATCTACACCCAAAAATAGGCAAGAATAAACATGGTGACAACATATGTATTATTTCCGACAACAAAGCATTTGAATGTGACTAGCTTGTAATCACAACTTCAGAAGTGGGAAGTAGTAAATTTCCAATAGTTTGCGAAGGGCTGTCAAATAAAGGACTCGCAACCGTTCTGCTGCGGTGTGAACATTAAAGCCTAAAGACAATTCTTCTTTTTTTATAAAATATTGCAGTATTTATTATAAATGGTTTATAGCTTATTTTTTATTAATGTGTCCTTGTATAATCATTAATCAAAGTAATTTCCCCTCCCTCTTGTCATGGCATCTCTTTTCTGATGAAGTGTTAATGACAACCTATCAGTCACATGGGATCACAGCGTTACCAAATGACACCGATCCAATCCTAAGGCCCAATCCTACATTTTTTCTCGAAAAAGCCATTTTACTCGGAAATACATCACATTGGAACAGAAAAGACTATTTAACTTCGGTTTCATGGTGACTTTAAGATGATACAAAGAGCATCTTGAACAGAAGCAAGAAAGCAGAGTCACATGATCAATGGCACAAATGTTCTATTAAGCCATGTCCACACTAATACGTTTTCGTTTAAAAACATATTTTTCTCTCTGGTTTGGCCTTCCTTCCACACTGACACACATTTTAAGTCAATGAAAACTTTAAGTCAATGAAAAATTTGAAAACGCTGTTTTCGCGTTGTAGTGTGGACTGTGAAGCTAGAGGTATTTGAAAACGATGAAGTAAGTTTAGCCATGTGATCCATGTTGTACCAATAGATATTCATGTTTACTGGGATTGTGCCTGTGCTATTCACTTTTACATTCTTGCTAAAATATGTTTCTTTGCTCACTCTTCATATCACAGTCCTGCAGATGACAGAAAATGTACTCGCATTTGTTGTCCTGCGGCAATACAGGAGAGCAGTCGTGTTTTAGACCAACCATATGGTGACTGAGTGCGATCTGGATGCATGATGGGGAGATATTTTGCTAAATAAAATGATCCTGTTAGAAGAATTGTGTAATAACTTTATTATTTATCTTTTCTATCTGTTTCCATCTCACATGAGCAGTAAGGGGAATTTAGAAGCATCTCATCCACACGGAAATGTCCGAAAACGCTAGTGTGGAAGGAGAGCGTTTTTAAACGAAAACGGCATTTTCAAATGTATCCGTAAAAATGGACGTAGCCTTGGATTAGTGGCCGAGAAATTTGTTTCAAACATCATAATGTTTCATTGTTTACTGTTTTACATTTGAAATCCAGCTTTTTAATGTGTTTTAAGTCTTTTGTACCACACTTTAGATTTACTGTAGAAATAGTGGTCGTGATGGTTATACAGTAAATGCTATCATTCAGATATTTGTATGCAACCATTAGAACCGAGGCCATTATGATATTTCCAGTGTCCTTGGTTAATGACACCAAACAACAGGACATATGTGTATGGATCCAGAGCCAGGATAACTAATATTTCCTCATCAAAGAGCAAAGCAATCGCTCTCCACAGCAGAGCCCAAGGCGGACCATGGCGAGGTCCTAATGAGATGTTTAGAGACACGGCTGGCTAATGGAACATTCTGGAGTTTGCCTCCTTAACTCCAGAGCCCTCTACCTGAGGAGACAAAGGACGTTGTGTCTACCAGGGGAAGAGCCGAATTTCAGATAATCTGTGTCATTCATATTATGCTTCCTGACACAAATGATCAGATAATTCACATCTGAAGTGAATTAACATCTGTTGTTTGAATGGGGCTAATGTCTAGCAATTCATCAATTTCACAGTCTAATATTGCTGACCAGAGATTCATGTAACATGCCCAGATTTAGGCATTGCAATGCTTGGCGCTCTGCAGTGTGTTCTTGCACTAACAGTGCTGTCAAAATTAGAAATGGATATAATAAGTGTTTGTGGTGCATTAAAGAGATAGTTCACCTTAATCTGAAAATCAGACATTTGTTCGAAACGTGTATGACTCTCTTTTATCTGAGGACTACAAAAGATGATATTATAAAACAAAAGTCCAAAAGAGGTTCACTGACATTTGAAAAGTCCCCAGTGACTTCCCCAATGTTCCACAAAAGAAAGTCATAGAGGTTTGGAACAACATGAGGGTGAATAAATGAGAAATGGAAAACTTTTAAATTAAATAGTGTTTAGAAATATTTTGTTTAATCACTCCCCAAACTGAATAACACCCCAAAGATAATGGGGGCATTCTGTGTATGTTGATTTGTGCTTTCAACATAATGTGTTATTGTATGTATTTAGCATACTGGAAAAAAAAAAAAAAAAAAGATTGCACAGACAGGATATAAAACAAATCAATAGTAGATTATCAAAACAGTAATGATCAAGCCTGTAAATTATACAATCCTTAATATAATAGTTTAACCATATACAAACACACCAGTTCTATGAATTTTTCATGGATGTCTAAGCCTATACATCCTCTTCAGACTTTGCATGAGTCACCCAAGGGGGCTTGACATTGGGAGAAAAAAAAGCTATGGTATAAATTCCTGGGAGATTGTAATTGTACAACGTACAGTGGCCTCACTAGACACTTTAGTCACACTTTATGAATGTCATTGCATTTGATAAAATATGTGTGGCTTTTCTTCTCAGAGCTAACGTCATCTTTATTCACTTTTCAGGTCTCAATGTGATTTTACAGTGGAAATATGAAGTCAGTTCACACAGGTATTCTTGTGGAATAATAACCACAGGTGAAGTTCATCATACGGTCATGCTATAGAGGTGTTTTGCCATCCGTCATTTTCTCATTCTCATGACTTTGTTAAATGCTGAGGAAGACCAGAGAAGATATTTTAAAGAAACTGTTTTGGTTCATACAATGAAAGTCCATGGAGTCTGGAGCAACACTAGACCCCATTGACTTCTAGTGTATGAAATAAAGAAAAAAAACTGACTTTTTAAATTAAAATATCTCATTTTGTGTTCCACTGAAGAAAGAAAGTGATGAGGGTGAGTAAATGACGACAAAATTCGCTCCCAAAAGAAGAACGCTCCCAAAAAAAAAAAAAAAAAAAAAAAAAAAAAAACATCTTGGGGCCACTTTACAGTACATGCACATACATACAGAAGGTCAAGGGTAAAGGGAGCCATCTATCAGTATGTGATCGTGATTTCCTCAGTGCCACATTTAATGCATAATAATCCGTTTTCCCATCCAAACATCCATGACAATCGAAGCGATGAGCTCTGCACCTCTTCGTTCTCACTTCGCTGAAACGCTTCACCAAAAAATCTCAGCGCCGCCACTAAGTCCTCCTACTGCAGACGAGAGAAGTGAAAGATTACTGCGTTCGGCTCATTAAGAATGTTTTATTTTGTCTGCAATTCCCCCCCACCCCCGTCTATTGTCTCTCCACCCTCTCAGCTCAAGTCTCGGCAGAGTCACAGCCCTGGGAGCACCGCGGCGACGGAATAAACGCAGAAAATGAACTGGAAGAAAACAGGGAGGCGAGAAGAACGGTACGGCTGGCCGATGGTGGCCGAAAACTCAAAGGAGAGGAGGGTATGATTAAATCAAGCTTAATTCTATTTTGATAATTGTCTGCGTACGCGGCCGCGTCTCGCCGTGGGGATGTTGTGACTTGTGTACGAGACTGACAATGAAGTCGGCAACAACAGCTGCTCGGTGCCGGCTAGCTCGTGTACCTTGCCGCTCAAGTCTTGTCAGTCACATTTTCCCTAATTAACTAACATCTGCTTTCCATTTTCAGTTACACTGCATCGCCAGCTTGCCTCATCTGAATCCCTGACTCCTGACCTCCCCTGAGGAAGGTGCTCACTGTCAGAAGAACCCCCAGCATCCTACCGCCACAGAAAGGTGATTCCTTTAAAGCACCAGAAACGGATGAAGGAGCGAGAGGGGGCTGCGCGAGGCGGGCAGATGGGGAGGGGAGCTGTCGCTTGTGTCAGGTTAACCTCAGAGACACATCCGGAGCTCAGCATCTGGGAGACGGAGAGGAGAGAGAGGCACCGTCGCTCCATTTGGCGCAAGTGAGTTTGGCATTAAGCATCATGCAGTGGCTTTCATCAGCTTCTCTCTCTCTCTCTTTCTTTCTCACCTTCACTCCCTCCCCCAAAATAAAAAAAGGCTAAAACGCCAAACTTTGTGCACTGTCAGTCCCACGGGCTGTGCTTATTCCCAGATTTATGTTAGTAGCGTTAAGCGTTAAAGATAGAGAGGAAGAGAGAGAGCTTTGCATGCGGAGAGGAAGGAGATGATACTGATGTTTGTGCAGCACATGTGTTAAGTCACTCACACACACACACCACAATAACACCTGAAATCGCGGCAGCTGGTGCTGTTAAACATGCATTGTCTTGTTCCAGTTTCACCTCTGCAGCAACAGATAGCAACAAAAGTCCTATAGAGGTCTTTAAGGTAATTGATTATTGTCTTCAACTTTTTGATATTACATTTAGTTTAATTAAATTTATAATTTGCAAAAGTTACTGTTTATTAAGTTTGTCCTGTACACCTTTTGTGTAGGAAAAAAATAAAGCCACTCTCATTGTGTTACTTGTTGACTGTGTGGACATGCGCTATACATGATCATTATTATTTCTTAAGATTTATTCTCCATGGTTTTTACTCTTGATCACAAACCTCATGATTTTTGTGGAAATGCAACAAATCTCCCAGGTTTAAAAAAAAAGGGGTAAATGATTACATAAAAAAAAAAAAAAAAAAGAACAGATGGGCCTGCCTAAAAAAATATGATTTTCTACAAATGATTGCATTCTCTCCCCTTTGGTGTGAAAAGTAGACTCGAGAACACTTTTAAATAATTTGTTCAATTTGTTCCACAGCCAAAGAAAAGCGGCTTGGTGGAAATTCAGATTCATTAAAACTTAATTAATATGCATCATTATGTAAATGAGGTTGCAGTTAATGAGTTCTTAAAAGAAGCCTTCCTTAATTAGTTCACTTTTTAATGGCATCATCATTTATCTTTTTTCTTTGAAGCAGAATGACGCGAGGACCTCGCCGTTCCCGAAAGTGCTAAAATTTTCCATTTTTTAATTATTCTTATTTCCTTAATTTTTATATGATTAAGAATGCATTTAGGGAAGTAAATAAATGAGAAAAACTTAGACCTTTTTTTTTTTTTTTTACAGACTCACTTATTTCCATTAAAACAGAGTCTCTCTAGATGCCAGAGTGTTTAAAAAGTTAAAGGGAAAGCATCTTTTTACAAAACAATCAAGGCTGTCTCACAATTACCTCCCTGGCTTTTGCAAAGTAGCTTCATTTCCACTAAATCTGAGCAGCCTCTTAATTGCTCTCTCCAGTTGGGCTGCAGTATATATTACCACACTCCATTACTATTTATGGAGCCTGAGAATCATATTGCAAATATGAAAACGACTGTGGTCATTTCCTTCTGCATTCATTCTCTCATTTATTCATTTACATATTCAATCATTTATTTATTTTTTTCCTTCTTTTTTTTTTTTTTTTTTGGATAAACAATTCACCTCACCTGATGGGTTTGTGAAACTAAATTAACTATACATAATTTAGAAAATCATGTTTATCTGGCACCAACTTATAGAGAAGGTGTTTGAATTTAAATAAGAAAAGCATGCAGCACATTTAATTTCTCTTCTCTGCGACTTGTGACCCAGGTGAGGTGGAGATCAGCATCTGTTGTATACGTAAGTTGTATAATAAAACCTTGCAATAAAGCAATTGCAAATAGAAGGATTTTACTTCTCAGAGGCAAGATAATGCTTAAAAAATAAGATTTGAAGACTGTGTGTGTGTAGAAAGGTAGAGAGGGTGTGTGTGGAGGGGGAGACAGTGTTTTTATGTTCCCGCTCACTAACCATCACTCTGCTCCTAATTGATAACCACTGGCATTTGATCAGGCGGTCTTCAAACAAGGAATCTATCTTTGTATTTTGTATAAGACGACCATCTGTTGTTGCAGAGCTCTACATTCATTAAATTTAATTTCTCAACTCAGGAATACAATTTTAATTGTCCATTGTTACTGGAGGATTTTCCCCATCATCCCTTCCTGATTCTTTTTTCCCCCAGGGTGGAATTTGGGGGTTGTTTGCGGAAGAGTTTTGTGTTTGTTTGTTTGTTTGTTTACCAGTACTCTGCTGATGTGACCTGGCCATTTTTAAAAAATGAAACTGACGTTTGTGTACACTGTATATATATATATATATATATATATATATATTTGTGCGTATGTATACATGTCAGTTTCTCTTTTCAAAAATGGCCAGGTCACATGGACAAATACTAATAAACAAACAAACACCAACCAAACCCTATAATATAGATTGATATACAATAACCATATATACAGTATATACATATATAAATATACAGTATAAAATACAGTGTATATTGTATTTGAATTTGGTCTTGCAGAAAGTTAATTGAAGCAAGTAAAATGTGAACATAATAGTGGTGTATAATTAGGAAATAGAAATGAGTGTATTTGGACCCATTTCTTGCAGGTTGTTTTGGACATTTTTGAGCAGTGAATCGTTTGGCATTTGGTGTTCTGTGAGGAGCGACGGTGGGCATGTGTTAACTACACACAGGACACTCGAGCGAAAACCAGACGCCCACCGAATCCTTCAATCTGTCATTTCCTCTCGCAGCTCCCGAGCAAGATAAAAATAAAGCGAGCACAAAACACTCTCTTATTACTCTTTCAAAATAATGCTCTTCACACTTTAGTTCACTTCTTGGTAGCCTTTACTTGGAAAGCATATAGCAGTGAGCATATTGTTTGGAAAATAAGTAGGCCTAATTTATTTATTTTTTTATTCGCCATGGGTGTTCAGCAAATGATCTATGATCAGTAACAAAATTCAAGAAACTGTTGTATTAGTAATGTGGCTTGCCTACAAAATAATTCATATATTTCTTAAACGGTTATTTCTTGAAAAAATATTTGTTTTATAATGAATCCCCAACCAAAAAGTGTAACAATTATAATACAGTGATGAAACAATTTCATAAATTAAAACATTTTAGTTCAGTAATACAGGACAGAAATAATAGATTTAGCTTTAAAAATCTTTCTTTCTTCCCCTTTGAGATGTTAATTAAAATTATGCTTATGAACCAAATCAATGTTTATGATGTATATTAATTAATTTCTTTTCACTGTGGCAGGTGTAACAGCTGTTGGTCATTATATGAACCCGAGGAGAGAGAGAGAAAAAAAGAAGCATTCCTGGTGCTTTTTTTTTTTTTTTTTACTATAGAAGTGAGACTTCTTTTCCCCCCCGTCCGACCCGTGAGAGAGAAGTAAACTGCTGGTTATTTGGGTTCAGGTGCTTAAATAAAAGGGTTTTGACACACGGTAGCCTGGGGTTTGATCCCATGATTCATTGGGGTTTTTGTAAGACAATGAGCGGTGCTGCTTGATACAAGGCTTTTGCATTAACAGTTAACTATGCATGAGTGTAAAACCCTTGTGGTTTCTGAGACCACTATGAATAAAGGATGCATGCCTTGCAAAATTTAGCTTAATAGAGTTACCAAAATGAAGTGGAGAGTTTTGGTAGTGAACTATGACTCTAGAGACAGGAGGTGTACAACTTAAGACGAGTTTCGACGTGATGTGTGCTGTACGGAGAGGCGGCGTAAAAACACACGAACACGGTTCTCAGAATCAGAGAGCACTTCCTCTCAAGTACTTCTGATATAAAATCACTTTGCTTGCACTGACTTGACCCAGCAAGATTTCAGTCAACAGATTTTCATGGCAATAGTGCAAAAATAATATAGTGAAAATCAATTTTATATGAGAAAGTCTTGCTCGGTCAGTTCAATTAACTGTTCTAAGTGTGCTGGTTTAAGTATTTTAATCTTAATAAATATAAATACAGAAAGTGTTGTCATTCAATACATACTGCTAATTTCAAGTCAATAAAGTGCTTTGTTCATTATGAAATGTTTTTTTCTTTTTTTATAAAATGTGTGAAATAAACAGGTCATTTTAAAATTGTGTATGTGTTATTTTTAAAACATTTTTTTTCCATGTGCACATTAACAAAATGATAATGTAAAAAAAAAATACAAAGGTTACACAACTATTGATACATTTATATTTACTACATTCAAATGATCTTTGTAAAAAAAAAGAACTTTCAAAGTCACAATTATCATAGCACTTTATTTAGATGAGAAATATTTTAGAGTCAGTTCTCAAAGAAAATATTATTTATTTTAAAGCAAATCCACACGTGATGAATTATTTAAAGCAACTGGGATTGCAATGCCATCAAATGGCAGAAAACAAAGCTTTACGCCGTGCTCAAAGATTTCTGTTTGAGGAGCAGAGAATGGAGAAAGAGATGTTTAATGCTAAACACAGAGGGAGAGAGGGAGGGAGAGAGAGATATCTCAAACTGCTTATGCAAAAATAATTGGTAACCTCCATGTACTGTTCTGCACTATTATTCAAATCTCGCCTTTGTTGGCCTTGTTTACAGGATGTTAACTGGCGCATTTTCACCCCCAGAGTGGACCCCTATTTTTCTCTCACACACAGTCTATTCTCACAGCTGTTTGATTTCCAACTGCCAAATGCAGTTTATTTCATTCCTTTGTTTTTGTTTTTGTTTTGTCTTTCTGATTTGCGCCAAGTTCTCAAAGTTATCTTCAAAACTAAACATGTTCCCTCGCAACTAGGGCTGTCAGTTGATTTAAACTTTTAATGTAATTAATTACATGATATGACAACTAATTAATGTAATTAATCACAATTAATTGCATGTATCAATATTTGGAGGCAAAAGCCTTCAAATGAAGATCATTTAAAGATAAATTGTTGTGGCAGACAAATAAATCATTGAGCAGACATTTTAAAAACTGGCTTTAGAAGTTTTTTTAGTATTATTTATTTTATTTTGCATACTGACTGACTTGTATTCTTTCTGCACTACATTGTGGATATCTTTGGTCATTGTGTAACATCTCACAGCAATCAGCACTGTGTTTTAAGACTAGGTTGTCCACCCTTGCATTCTGTATCATTTCGTTAAGCGTCATCTAGCTGTAATTGATAGCAAATATACATCCGGTTTGAACGATGCTACTCATTTTGTGCATGCTTTTGGTAAGTGTGGTTTGGCGGGGTATGTTGGGTGTAGTTGCCAGAACTTTAAAAAAAAAAAAAAACATGAAGGTGGCAAAATTGCTTCGAAGGTACGATGGTAGTCTTTGTATTATAAGAAAATGTTCTATGTGTGCAAGCTCCTCTCCTTGTTGAACTTTGAAAAGTGTTAAAGAAATCAAATGTTTTATCATATAAAAATAACAGCCCTACTTGCAAACAATACTTACAATAAAAGCACAAGTTATTCATAAAACAAATACATTTTAGCAGAAATTTTAAAGGGTTTCAAATTTATGTTCTGAAATATCAATATTAACCCCTTTACTTTAAAAAAAAAAAAAAGCACAGATGACCTATTTATGAGTGTTCATGTATTTTTGCTTCTCTGAATGTTGCCGGGATGTTGTGTGTACAGTATCTGTGTCACTGCAGGTATGAGAACAAGATACAATCGCTGTCAGTCGGTAAGCAGGTAGTGCAAAGAATACTCTCACACACACAAAACAAGTTATAAATACGAATGTGGTGTAGCAGGTAAAGAAGTTTGGCGGTGTTCTCACCCACTCTTCCTCAGCTATAAGCAGCCGAGTAAGAAGAGGGGGGGGGGGGGGGGTGGGTGTCAGCGGGAAGTTCCTGCCATCCAGCGCTCTGAACCTGTGGGTTTGTGCCGGGCTGAGCACAGGTGGGCGCACCTCTACGTTCATGCGGCATCGGAGATGCGTTCGGAGGGGGAGCCAGCTCAGGCAGCCTGGGCCGCTCATGCAGGAAACAGCAGAGGAAGCCACAGGGCAGGCAGCTGAGTTTCAACAGCACGTGTGCACATAAGCAAACACGCAAACACACACTTCTCAGGGAAACAGTGCCTTAGAAGTCACATCAGACTGTCTGACAACACTGTCCCAATTAGGATGCCCCATAAACAAGGGGGAAGTGGTGCCTCTCTTGGGACCAAGCTGCTCACCCCCACTTCCATCCCTTTCCCCTCTCCACTAAAACATGCCATGGATTGCAGGATGCCGCTGTACATCAAGCGCTCTAAAGTGCCAAAGTCATCTATGATAGCACAAGGTGTCGCTTAGGAAAGTGCACTTCCCCACAGAATGTGCTTCTTGGAGTGGAGTGGAAAACTTTGCTTTGTGAGTCTGAGTTACTTTTTCTAGCTATAACCCTGCCAATTATCACTGGCTTCTGTGTCAACTTTAAACCCTGGAGAAAATCAAAATGTCATTGCTGAAACTTTGTTCATGGAAATGCTTCAGATTTGAGTGGAGACAATGAGATGCATGTAGGTTCTTTAGCTTAAATGCAGGGTAGGTGATTTGTTTGTTATGGTGGTTGAAAGTCTCTTCACATCCTGATAGCAATCACCAAGTTACAGTAGGTGGTCTAAATGTATTTATATGTATATATCTCATCTGTGGAAGGTGTAGGCGTTCAATAATTGATACGATGCCCTACCTGTCTATCAATGTATGCATTTCCATACCTCACACTTCATCAGCCAGCCCGTTATCATCCCAAGGCGTCATATACGACACTTTTAACAAAGCGTAGACATCTTACGCACATGGCACCCTTTAGCGTCAATATGAGACGCAGATACATATGAGGAAGAAGGCGCCCCCTAGTGTTCGAACCCTAACCCTACCCCAGACCTAAACCTACCATAACCGAAGCGTGTTATATTGACGCTAAAGGCTGCCATGTGTATTGGATGTCTACATTTTGGCAAAAGCGTCATATATGACGCCTTGGGATGAGAATGCGTTGCATCAGCATGTTTCATGCTATGCAGAGTTAGACAAACGTCAGTCACCGAGCATCACAATCAGAGTTTGAAATTAACACCCGCCAACCCGCCAAATGCGGGTAAACATCACCTATGGCAAGTAACGTTGTCGAATCACTAGCCAATTTGGCGTTACCAGCCATTAATTCGTCTTATGTTCATTTACTTTGCTGGGGAAGTTTGTGTATGGCAAATCTGCGCAGATTTAGCACAAATACTAAACTCGTGGGTCATCATGAAAAATTAAATACAATGTATGGCGCTGAATATGCATATATCTGGCTTACTTGAACATGCACGTCACTACGCATACAATTTGCAAGAGCTTACCAAAATTGGACAGTTGAACACTGGAAAAATGTTGCCTGGTCTGATGAGTCTCGATATCTGTTGAAACATGCAGATGGTAGAGTCAGAGTTTGGCATAAACAGTATGAGAACATGGATTCATCATGCCTTGTTTTAGGCCCCTTAGTGCCAATTGGGCATCGCTTAAATGCCACGGCCTACCTGATAATTGTTTCTGACCATGTTCATCCTTTTAAGGCCACTTTGTACCCATTCTCTGATGGCAACTTCCAGCAGGATAATTCACCACATAGAATTAAGGCAGTTCTGAAGGCGAAACAGGGTCAAACACAGTATTAGTATGGTGTTCCTAATAATCCTTTAAGTGAGTATATATATATATATATATGTGTGTGTGTGTGTGTGTGTGTGTGTGTGTGTGACCGGTGCGTTGCTCACCTCACATTAATTCTTAATGATTTAAATTGTTTATTTTGAAGTTTAATTTAGTATGGTTTGTTACTTTATTTAAAATCCCTTAGCATTATTAATAAACACAGGACAAGGTTATGAGTTAAACAGTTTATTAAAGTTTGAATGTATGGAAGGGTGAACACTACTTATATTCTCTCTTTACTGTTTGACTTTACCTGAGTCCTGGATTCCTCTGGTCCATGGAGTGAGCGGCCGCATTCCATGTGATGGCCAACAAAGGAAGAGGCGGGGCTTCAGCCTCTATTTTTGTGCTGTTCCAGAGGAAATTGGACTGTACCATCTTGATCTGATGAGGGGGGGGGGATTCCTTTTTATTATTTCATCCAGTTTCATTTCTATTTTTTTTTTGTTTGAAGCAGTTTTGTATTGTGCTTCAAGTAGTCGATTAAATTATGTTTGTTATGATAGTGTATATTTTTAGTTAAAAATTTGTTGTTAATTGGGGAAAGTTTTATTTTGATACTTACCTTATCTTTTTGTTTGGTAGAGGCTAAGGGGTATATTTATCAGAGGGAATGTGTGAACGTTAGTCAGAGGAAATGGGTTAAGACAATCAACAATTCACGAATTAATATTTAAATATTTAAATAAAACAGGAATAGTAAATAGAATTTGATTTTTTTTTTGATTTTTTTTTCGTGCCCTTTCCTTCCAAAGCCAAGCATACTCCACACTCCAGATCAGTAGGTGGCGGGAATGCACCATTTATGTTGGTCTGCCAATCCGCCGTTAAACACCACAAGAAGAAGAAGAAATAGACTGTTAGTCAGATTTTTGTCCGGCCATAGTAACATCATGGCCTGCTGACCTTAGTGGTTTTGGTTGTTATTTTGTTTACCAGGGGAGATATATTTATTTTGAGGCCGGTTTAATTTTTGTTTTGTTCATTTGACTTCCATCTTAAGTCTATGATTTTTATATGGACTTTATTTTGGAAATTACTTTCATTGGATCTGTCCCTGTGTGTAATTATTCTTTAGAAGAAATAAATCTTCTTATCAGTTCACGTCACGACCTGTCCTGCCTGTTCTTGGCCACGCCCTTACTATATATATATATATATATATATATATATATAGAAATATAGAAAGAAAGAAAGGAAAGGGGGAAAATGTAAATAAGAAAAAAAATGAAGTAAAAACTGTTTGTTCCCCTATATATATATATATATATATATATATATATATATATATATAAATACTGTATATATATATGGTGAGTGAAAATGTTAATTTCAAACCTTGATCGCACCAAAACAGCAGGCACCTTTTACAGTTCCCTCTGAACCAAAACATTGAGCTTACACTGTGTTCACACCATAACGTAATTTGTAAGAGGTAGAACCTGTGATGTTATACGGTTCTTGACTCAAATGTACGCATTTTACTATCAATGCCAAAATGAATCTGCAGCAGTCATGTGATACAGGTCAGTTCTTTTTAAGTTGTTTATGTTCATTATTAGTGTAATGTTATGTGTTTTGAGACATGAGGTAATTTAACACCGTCTCTCATGACGCTTTTTGCTCCCTTCTATCGGCGTGCATGTGTTTTGAAGGAGACGTGGTTTTGGAGTCGCTCTGAAGGCAGGGTGAGAGCTTATGCTTTCAAAGCTAGCTCGCTATTGCTAGCCTACCCTACCTTTAAACCTGTAAAGCCTGACATGAAACAATACATAACAAAAATATTTTTGTTGAGTATATTTGATACATTATGATTTTATGGCTCATATGGTATGCAAGAAAAATGGTATGCAATAGGTATGCAAGTGGAGTTCATACTCAAGAAGTGATTTACAAAATGATTTTTTTTTTTCAAAAAAATAAATGAACAATCAGAGATCAGAAGGAATGTAGAAGATCATGCTTTTTCAGCAAAGTTTTGAATGTGTTGATAATTTAGAGGCATTTAAATTGTGTATATCAAATGTAAGAAATAGATTATTTATCATCATTTACTCACCATCATGTCTTTATATGTCAAGTCATCATGTCACGATGTTTAGCAGAACATGATCCAAGCTGCTCTTATACAATGAAAGTGAATGGGAACTGAAGCTGTCAAGCTCAAAAAACACAAAAAAAATCTAATTTTGCATATTTAAATATATGTCAAAATTGAGAATAATGTCTTGCATTTATGGCTTTTTTATGACATCTGAGAACTTGACAAGTTAGATTATGGTGCTTTATGTCTTTTGTACGTTCATTGCATGCAAAAAGAAAAGCAGGAGCATTTTGCTTAACTTCTTTGGTTTTGCATAGATGAAAGAACGTTGGATTGGATTCACTGGTGAATGACGGTGGGTACATGATACAATTTTTTTTATTATTATTATTATTTTGGGGGATAAAATGACACAGGGCACACATGGAAATTCATACACTTGGCCAAATCCTTTGCACTCAAAAGTGTCTCATCTCTACATTTTACTTGAATTTCATTGTTCTGCTCTGCTCAGGTCCTACCTGTCTCCTTTGGCAAAAGGCTACATCTGTGTGCTTAACGCATTTCTAACGAGCTGCCGTTGTTTTTCTGGAATGCACTGGAGATCAGTCATCGTGCCACAGCGAGTAAGATCACATTTACATGAGTAAACCATGCATCACTCTGACGCGCCAGACACCTTCTTTTGCAGAATGAAGAAACGACTTGTTATAATTCACAAAGAAAGATTAACATACTTCTGCTGATGTCATAAAAGTGTGCCATGTTTGGTTGCTTTTGTGAAAGAGCAATTCAAAGATCAAATTTACCAACAGCATCAATGCAGTTCCAATCAGAAATGTCTGCCAAAGTAAGACTGATTGCACTGTCTCTGAAATATTTCCGTGCAAGCAAAAGAGCAGCGATCATGTATGAACAAGGATAAACAAGGGGAGGGGAAAAAAGAAATGAGAAACAGAATGTCCATACAAAATAATGATACAAAAACTGAAACTGAAAAAAAAAAAAAGCGAGTCTATCAAATGCATCACCGTGAACTGTAAACTTTTGTGCAGCCTGATAATATGATATTATGGAGGCCTGAACAGATTTTCTTCTTCTGTTTTACGGGGCTGGTGGTGAGAGGAAATGCTGTTCAGTCAGTCGGCATGAGTCTATTTAGAATGCTGAGAAAATTCGAGCTCCTCTGTTAAGTCTCTAGTGAAGTAACCAAGAGTAAGAAAATTAAAACAAGACTCTGATCTGTGATCACACTGTAAGTGTGAATTTTAAATTAATCTCAATTTAACAAGCCTCAGCGCAATCGTATGCGAGAATATATAATACAGAGGGGCTAATTGAATATTTTCTCAAGCGTCTATATCCTACTATTTCACTTTTTATCCATTTAAGATTTATAATAGCAGAGATTTAACATATTAAATAAAGATAATAATGTCTCCTTTTTTTAATAATGATGTATACGTTTTTTTTAAGGTTAAAGTTGTAGACCAATCACAAACCACATTGTGCTTCACACAAATAGGGTACAAAAAAAGTCACTTTATCGTCTACAACAAAAGGTCAGTTAAAATAGTTGTTTAATCCTGTTGCCAAAAATCATAAACAACATTCTAAATTAAATGGATCATTGGACATTTTAAAAAAATTGTATAAACATACTGTATGTTTTCCCAGTGTTCAATAACATTTACTGAACAAACACCAGAAAAAAAAATGCTGTCTAATGCCTTATTAAGATTCAAAACTCATACAGTAACAAATATACACAAATGAGGCCAGCGACCTTTAAAATGAGCTATTGATACGCTCGGTTTGAACCACTGGTACCTGGCTCTCCACACAGTCCAAACTGACACACACCCCTAATTTGATTGGCATATTCTATTTATTATCATGCAACTGGATCTCAGCCAGGGTTTGTTTTCAAGGCGCCCATCAAACACCCGGCCGGCCCGGCGTTACAGTGATGTCACCGGCGCAAGTTGAATATACACAAAGTGGTTTGCCGTGTTTAAATAAATGGAGCTGAAATTTCAATTTTGAACCTTCCCTCTTTCCTGTCAGATAATTTGGTTGATCCAAGTGGCAAATGCAGGGCGGCATAATGCAACATTCCTCTTAAGTGCCAGTAGGTTAGACGCTGAGGGGAGGCCCAGATCTCTCCCTTTAACGCCACTCAAGCAGACTCTGCCTCTCTGCTCCGCTGCCTGGGGATCATTAAAGACATTTACGGCTCTGTAGAAGTCTCCAACTCGCTTTGATTCAAACTGATCTGGGTCTGGAGTTTATCTGTCAGTATGTGATAAATGCTGAAATAAAAACAAATCATCGAGCGGCAGTGGCACGAGAAAGAGATGCTCTGGGGTCAGAGATGTCGGCACCAGGATCTCCCCTCACACATTATCGCGAATAATTAAGACGCAAAGTTAAGTTGAGCAATTTTATTATTGACTTATGTATAGTTAAATGTCTACTTTAAGAGACAAACAAATACTACTTTTTTATATAACGGCGAACGGTTTGAGTCTTCAGTCTCATCAGCATGCCCTTAGTGTGTATTTTAATCTGAGCGACTGGAATTATTGCCTGTTACGGCTGTGTATCCTTTAGGAAAAGTGGAGGAACTATACTCGATATCAACAACATTAGCAGGAGAGCTGTTCTCATTGCATTTTAATCAACTTTGCCAGATTGAATTTCAGAAATGTAATTCTGCCCTCCACTGGCACAAAAAAGGTGCACACAGAAAGGCAGGCATTTCCTGACTGATACCAGGTAGATATTGTGTGTGTGTGTGTGTGTGTGTGTAAACATATACAGTTTGCCAATTAAAGCATCACTTGTATTTTTTATTTGCATATTACTGGGTTAAAGTGAAGAAACCTGATAAAATGCTAATTCTACAGAAAATACATTTCCTTCCGTACGCATTTAAACACATTTGATAAAGACCTTTCACCTTCAACAAAAGAAACACAATAATAATAATAGAATAACACTATTCAACAAAAGCATAATATAAATTATAAACAAAATTATAAAAGGCAATGCATGATTTACACATTTGATAATGACCTATAATCTCTCTTTTTTTGTGAGCAACTTTTGCCAAATAAAAAAAAATCACTTACATAAAATCACATTTTTTCCTTTTGCGAATGACTGCTTTATGTGAAAAACATGATAATAATTGAATAAAATAATATATTTGCAGAAATTATACAAGAAAATCACGATTTCCTACAGTTTGTATTTAAATTGATAATGACCTTTCCTCTTTATTATTTTTATTTTATTTTGATCATTTTTTTAGTGAACAACTGTCTCGCCACATTTTGCCAAATGAAGCGTTACTCACATACAATCACATTAAATAAATGAATGCATGTT